CAGGGGGAGGCTTTTGTAGCGATGTTGCTAACGCGCAGGTTTTCCGTCGTTCTTCTGTATCGTTCTAATTACAGGCGTCGTTCTTCTGTATCGTTTTAATTACAGGGTTTGATTTTTCCTATTGTTTTTTTAATTGTAGGGTTTTCTAATTGGAGGAAATGTAATTTATTGTCCCAAAAAATTGGAGGGAAAGATTCTACAGAGGGAAAGTCAAAATAATAAAAAATATAATTCAATTAGGGATTTTTAGTGGCAATTGTTTTTTATTATCGTTAAAAATATATCTTTTACTGGCTAATGGTCATGTGTCGCTAGTATTTTAGCTTAAATAATTCATTAGTGGCAATTACCTAATTGCCGCTAAATAATTGCCGCCAAAGACCTTTTTTGTAGTAGTGAAACGCCGTGGTTGTGCTTTGAGTTTGGCCGTTGGAGCGAGGTAAGTGTCGTTGTTAACCTTAACCTGAGGGATTAGGACTAATTTGTCTATTTGCTACGTGTTTAGATGTTGGGTACAACGTATAGGTAAGGTGACGAGTACCTATGCGTTGTTTTCGGGTTATATCATGCGGGTGGGTCTTATTCTTGTAATTGTTGCCTTTCTTGATCATATTATCCATGCTTAGACTAGTTAATCATTAAGTTGATCGTTCTTATCATGTTTACGGACTTTTGGTAATAATTGAGTATTGATCCATGGTTGAGGTTGGTATTGTGGAACCAAATGTTGAAGTAAAACATGTTCTTGATATTTCTATCTCCTTGTATTCATTTGTTCATTGCTTTTTGGTAAGGGAGAGTGTTAATGCACGAAGGGTGATGCCGTGCCATATTGTGAGTGTTAATGCACGAAGACTGATGTCGTGCTATGTTATGAGAGTTAATGCACGAAGGGTGATGCCGTTCTGTTTCAATTGATTATATGGTAAGGTTGAGAGTAAAAGCACGAAGGGTGATGCCGTGCATTTTTCCTTTACCGTGTTTACTTGTTCTTATTGGTTCATAGCATATTGGTTGTTCAAGTTACTATTCTGCTGTAGTTCTCTATCTTGTATTCCCCTCAACATGTTTCCTCCTCCCGATATTACCTGTCTAGTTTCTTTCATTGTTGTTATTTGTACATATACTATTAAATTGCACATGTTTGATATATAGGTGTCTTGTCATAGCCTTGTCACTAATTCGTCGAGGTTAGGCTATACACTTACTAGTACATGGGGTCGGTTGTACTGATACTGCACTCTGCACTTCCTGTGCAGATTTTGGTATTGGTCGCAGCTGATCGAGAGGCATAGCAGCTCGGACTGGTTCATCGGAGACTCAACGTAGATTTGTCGGCGTTCGCAGACCTTGAAGTCCCTGTCTATCTTTTCTGTTATTACTGTTTTTCATTCAAACAGTTTTATTCCTTTCAGACTTTTATTTGTAGTAAAATCCTAGAAGTTGGTGAATTGTGACTCTAGATCCGGGTGGTAGTAAGTATTGAAGTTTTTATATTATTCCAAACTCGATCGCTTTATTTCATTTTAGCTTATTGGCTATTATATACTGAATTGAATAAGGGTTGGCTTAATAATTCTCTAAAGTCGACTTGCCTAGCAAGTGGAATGTTAGGCGTCATCACGGTCCCGATGGTGCGAATTCCGGATCGTGACAATATGTATATAATATACATATATACAAAATAAATTATTTTTATCTGCTATTATTTTTTGGAGCGACTAAAAAAAAATATTTCTCAAATTAATAGTTATTATTAATTACCTATAGGAGTTTACTATAAAAGTTATGAAATTATACTTACACCATTGCATCTCCTTTAATGTGATTAATTTGGTCTTTAGTTAAAATAACTATTTCAATCCCGTCTACCAGATCAAATTGTCTTGCTTTCACTTAAGTAGAGGAAGACCAAACAAAGTAGTATCTATATTTTATAAATCTTGACTAGGCCAGTTGCTGTGGTTACATCAACAAAATGCAATTAAAACAGCCAGGTACTTTCCCATTTAATTTATCATTCTTTATCATCATTAAGTAAGTCATTACGAAACTAAACTTAAGTTACCTAAATTCAGGCCGGTTGATGATTGTGATGAAAAGGAAAATGGAACACATGAAAACAGATGGATAGAGTTGCAAGTGACATCGTACTTCTGTCCCGGGGCTGGGGGGTTTTGGTAGGGCTCTCCATAGATGATCTGTGTATTGTATTGTGCCCCCTTATGGTAGTTACCGGTCGATATATTTGCATGCCATTTTATTTATGGTTTATGTTTAGATAATTATTTATGTGATCTCTGCTGGAGTTACTAATGCTCTTTTGCTTTTTGTTTTTTGTTTTTGTTTTCCTTTTCCTTTTCCTGAGCCAAGGGTCGATTGGAAACAGCCTCTCTGCCCTTTCGGCTAGGGGTAAGGCCAGTGTACGTATTACCCTCCCCAGACCCCACCTTGTGGGACTATACTGGGTAGTTGTTGTTGTTGTTGTAGAGTTGCAAGTGACAATACATAATAATTCAAGTCCTACATTAAATAATATGGAGCTATCGGTATATACTTTAATAAGAAAATACTTTATTTTTATTTATTAGAATATACAATAAATATTGTACATCGGTGCTGATTGATCATGGCTCTTCATTGGACCACTACTCATTTCAGGCTCATTGTTACATTAACATGTCATTATTTCTCCTCCTATTATTTATATTTTTATTTTTCATTATTTAAAATATTTAAATTAAAAATTCCCCATCCACTTGACATACTATTAAATAAATAAAAAAAAGGAAAATCATTAGGGGGTATCATAATAATTACTCCTAGAATTTACATATGTCCCCAGCTAAAGCAAAAGCAATAATTTAAAACAATTACAGATTTTTTTTCTTTTTTAGTTTAATCATTATGTATTTAAAATTGAATGTCCACTTACTTCATTAGTATTAAAGGACACCCATCCTATCTAATTTAATTGTCTAACCCAAAATCTTTAATCTATATTTATATCTATCTATACTATATTAAAAGCACGAATGCCTTTAGTGAAATGTCGTTCACCTTTTTTACCCTAAAAATTTAATTTATATTGGACAAGATCGTCATTTAATTTATCTCAAAATATTTAGAATTTTTAAATCAAATAAAATTTTACTTATTAAAGTTTTCCTTATTAAAACGGTTACATATAAGTCTAAAATTTAGGACATCAAATCAATTAAAATTTGACCTTGTATAGATCAAACAATTCATTTATAATAATTTGTTTCTACTTTTTTAGACCTACAAACTAGGAACGTGCATTTATAAATTTTGATAAAGTATGTTAAGATTCCATATAATGTACAGTTATCTTCCAAATTAAATATTTAAACTATTCTATATACATCAAGTTTATATAATTATTTTCTTAAAAAAATAGTTTACCACAAAAGCCATATTCTATATTTGACTATCTATTACTTTAATCCATTATATTGATTTGGGCGAGAAGTAAATGAAAAAAAAAAAGTAAATTGAAGACTAATGTCTCCTTTACTGACATAGTTTTGAGAGGCAAACCAAGTTAAGAATTAAATAAATTAGAAAACAACATTTATTCTTAGAGGAATAATTCACAATTATATATTATATTTTACCATCGTGTGCTTCTAATAAGCTATTAATAATTTGACAGATAATAGTGTGATCGTATAACACACCTACAGGGAGGGCAATGAGGTGGTTGATGGTTTAGCTAAAGCTGGCTGCAACTTCCAATCGGCAGATAAACCATTGATTTTTGAAGAACCACCAGATTTTGTTAACACTTTTTTGCAAAAGGACCAAGCTGGAGTAATTCGTACAAGGAAGGCAACATGCTTATTACAACAACAACTGGAAGACGTAGATCAGGACATTTTTTATAACAACTCAAATGATCTGTGCATGACTGCATATAATAGCTCCTTTATAATGGACAATTATCATAGGATAGCTAGTGCTAGTATTTCTATTTCTCGCATATCAAACAACTATCATGCAGATGCGTACGCATCTCCCTCTCTATAGTTACTCTACTTATGTTTAATGCAAATTATCTTTCTCACCAAAAAAAAAAAAAAAATTGACAGACAATCCAATACGTTAATTCATTACTAAAATAACATTATGAATATTCATAAATTTTTACTCACTAATACTAACTAATAAATAATAACTTTCATAAACCACAAATAAAAAAATTATTTGCCAAACAAAATAACATAAAAAATAAAATTTGAAGAAAAATATAAGTAATCAAATTGAATACCTGACAAAAATTAGAACTTTAGATGAAAAGTTTTATCAAATTCACTTTATATTCTCAAATTTTGAGATGCGATTACTAAAGAAAGTTTTTGACGGCTCAATGGATTGTTAATGATTTTCAATGATCTACATGCAAATATAATTACAGATGATTGCAAAAGAACTTTGAAACGAGCTTATGCGCAAGGCGTTGGGTGCATGCTGCCATACGCCTGGGGCATTGAGGTGGAAGAATCATGATTTATTATTTTTTAGAAACTTTTATTTTTATTTTTGTTCTTTCATACAAACATAATATTTAATAATATTTATACGTTTGTTTAAAAAAATTTATAATAATTGACATGGGTAGACGTGCAAAACGCGTATAATAAAACTAATTAAACTAAAATGAAGGAATCTCATTCATCACGTCACACTAGATGTTATATAATTATAGTTACTAAATGCCCTCTAATCCTTTAAAGAAAAATACACCCTCTGATCCCAAGAAAACCAACATACCAAATATGTCCACGTGTCAACATGCCATAGGATTGTAATGTCATAGAAAATTGAATAATTGGTATATAAGCACATAAATCCATATACATGCTCCCCTTATTTGTTAGATCGAACTACACATTATAAACCTTTGTGTGAGTGTATCTATCTCTCTCTTCCTTTTAAGAAGAAAAAAATAAGAAGAAGTAGGCATTATAATCAAGAAAGAAGAGGTTGTGTTCTTTGATGGAAGTTGGGCGGAAAATGGACTTGAATCTCAAGGAGACTGAGCTATGTTTGGGGCTGCCTGGTGGCGGTGGAGAATTAAGAGCAGCTCATCCTGCTGATCAGAATAATATTGACTCCATCACTAAAAAAAGAGGATTTTCTGAGACTGTTGATCTGAAACTCAACCTTCAATCCAATGATTCTTCTGCCTTGGATCTGAAGAATAAGAATCCTTCCAAGGAAACTTGTAACAAGGACTCAACCAAACCACCGGCAAAGTAAACTCCTGTTTTTCTTCCTTTTACACTGTCAGCCAGTACATATATATATATAGCTAGGTCATGGGTTCGAGACGGCTGCCTACATCACACCTCTTGGGGTGCGGCCCTTCCCCGGAACCTATCATCTTTTTACACTATCATCAGTACATATATAGAAGTTGACGTATTTATGAAATATGTTTATGCAAATTCCAGGGCACAAGTGGTGGGTTGGCCACCAGTGAGATCATTCAGGAAGAACATAATGGCACAAAAAGGCATCAGCAGTAATAGTGAAGAAAGTGAGAATTCCAAGGGAGGAATAAGCAGCAGTACTACTCCAGCATTTGTGAAGGTGTCCATGGATGGAGCACCTTACCTTCGAAAGGTAGACTTAAACATGTACAAAAGCTACCAACAACTCTCTCATGCTTTGGCCAACATGTTCATCTCCTTTACTATGGGTAACTCCCCAATTTTCTACAATTTCAACAAGTTAATTAGTATATATTTTAACATGTTTGTAGCAGGTAATTATTAATTAATCACACTTATTATGGAATATTACATATATCTTTTAGGTGTCTTAATAGTAGTGTAGAAAGACTTTTACAACATAGAAATTGAACTCTTTCAACAATTCTCATAATTGCATCGACAAAGGAAAGTGGAGTTCTTTTCTACCAGATATGTTAGGATTTATCTTAATTAAGAAATCAAATTTTCTTATAGAATGGATGGAGGGATTAATATGATATGACTTTCTTTAGAACATCCCATTTAAGGATCTAATGGTGAAGAGTTTTGATTACTAAAACCATAATGCATGTAAGAAATGTCATATTTGAGGATAAACTAAAGTAATAAGTTTATTATGCGTTTTCAGAAGAGAATCTTGAAAATATTAAAGGGAAAAAGCTAGATGTTAGTATATCATGATCATATGGGTGCATATAGTACAGCCTAGCTAGCTTTTTAATACAAATATAGTAGCGTGTGATATTTTATAAAGTTATTTGAATTCCACTATCTAGTAAATAATTATGGGATGCATATTGATGGAACAGGTAATTATGGGGCCCAAGGAATGATAGATTTTATGAATGAGAGGAAACTGATGGATCTCCTCAACACTTCTGACTATGTACCTACCTATGAAGATAAGGATGGGGACTGGATGCTCGTGGGAGATGTACCTTGGCAGTAAGTTCTTTTTAATTTGTAAAATTGTTTTTCTCCTTACTATTAACAATATTCAAATGGGTAATCGAATTTCTGTACCCATATGATTTTATTCAGGATGTTTGTTGATTCATGCAAGCGTTTACGCATAATGAAAGGATCTGAAGCTATTGGACTTGGTATATATGGCTTTCCTTCCTTTCTAAGTTTCAACAAAATTACTATTTACTCTTTATATTATTTGTCCTTTAAGATTTTTCTATATTTTTTCAAAAATAAATAAATTATACTATTAGTTATAACAGTATCTGTTTAAACTATCATTTATCTCTCCCTAAGCATCTCATACTTGATACTCCATTAAATGGAACAACAAGGGTAAGATTTAAAGAAAATGTTATAAATGATGTCTTGCTTTTATGAAACGTCAAACATTTTTAGACAAATTTTGAGATCAGAGAGAAGTTTATCCTAATTCATTATCTCATTTAATTTTAGCACCAAGAGCCATGGAGAAATGCAAGAGCAGGAGCTGAAAACGTTGATGAAGCAGTTTATTATATATGTCTGTGTTTTTATTATATGTAGGTAATTCAAGAAATGATCTTTGGATTTTTGTAGTGAAAAAGAAGCAGCAATAAACTGAAAACCCTAATCTCTGGTTTGTTTATTAGGAATGGGGCTTGTTTAATAATTGTCCCAAATTTCTTTCCATTTTCTTTCTTCTCTTTGGGTGGTTGTTCTTGTCCTCTCTGTCATAGTGTTTTATTCCTTCATTTAAATGACATTTTCTCCAGTAACCAGATTTTCCGCATCATGTATCTTATTTATTCATCCATTTATGTATAATCAATGTGTATTTTATCGAATTAGTATCATTTATTATTATGAAGTCTACGTTTTGAGGGAACAAGGCCATGTGCATGTTTATGGGTCTCGGCCAATTATTTAATCTTTGTTTATTTACTCCATTTCCCTTAAAATTAAATATTATTAATATCACTCGTACACGTACATGTAAGGGATGGACTCCACGGCTTTTAATGACTTTGAATTTTGTAATGTAAGGACTGTGCAGGATAATTAGGAGCACATGCAACAAGCAGCTCTATAATACTCTCTTCCGGTCCAAATATTATTCAATGTTAGTTATCTTGACAAACTGAATATTTGATGGTAACAATTGTTGCTCCAATTATTATGGTGTTAATTAAGTGATATATATTTAAAGAAAAAATAAAGGGGTATTGTAGACAAAGACTCTTAGGCCTATCTATATATATATACACAGATAAATAATATAATATGCACAGAAGATTGTTGTGATTAATTTAAGATTCAAAGGATCACTACACTGTCAATAATTAATAGGTCAATGGTATATAAAACTTGCTATTTCGAGAAGTAGTTGATCAAGAAAATCCGAGGGTTGAGTCTTTAGAGTAATGAATGCGTGCTGATCAGTTGAATTTGAACTCTCCATTTAATGCATTGTTTCCTCTCCTCCCATCAACACCCATTATTCACTCATCCACTTGTAGCAAAAATATGATCTATTCTCGGATCATACAATGTTTCTGTATGTCTGGGGACAAATAAAAAACTACCTACTAGTTTTTTCTTGACAAGTTGGCAAAATTAATAATGGAAGTGAACCAACCTTGAATCTCTTTTTAACCGTTTACTCTTTGCCTACGTACGAAAATCCCTTGTTACCAAGTGGCATTTCTTGGTTTTTCTTTCATACATGGGTAACTTTAATCTTTCGACAAGTTATAAGCGGCTTGTTATTTTTATTTGCCACTAGGCTGCGATTTTCTTATTTTTTAATCTTTCATCCGACAGCTACTGAAGGGTTTGGCATATGCAGCAATCGTTTGGTAGAAAGATCCATGAAAGCCCATATATTCCACCTACACCTTCCTACTACACCGAGAGAGATAAAAAGCTAACTCTTAGGCGTCGTTTCATTTAAAGATATAAGTTATGCTAGAATTAGTTATACTGTAATTAATTATGTTAGAATAGTTATCTTGATATTATTTCTTAGGGAATCTTATATATATGTCTCAAATAAGTTCCAACTTATTAATATCTAGTCGTTAATCATAAACTTACCAAAACTAGCCATTAATCATAGACTTACCAAAACTAGTCAAGCACATAAAAATTGAAAACCTAAATAAATAAGGTTCATTCTCTCAAAAAATCACACGCAAAGATCTCCTTCCATATTTTTAAGCGTGATCAGCAACATTGATGCAAAACGGAAAGAAAATTTCATGGATGAGGTAGCAAACAATGTGATGAAATACAAAATATATATATATATATATATATATATATATATATATATATATATATATATATGTATATATATATATAAGATTCCAAAAATCTAAGCAAAAAAAGACCTTTTTCAATGGGTATGGTTGAAATTCATTGAAAAGAGATGAGTCAATATACAAATTTTCATAAAGATTGGAGGTTATTTGGACTGATTTGGATCAAAATTCGTAGTTAAAATCGAGTTCAAAAAAATTTTCTGCAACACATGTATCACGCAAAAAGGTATACATGTGATAGACATTTGATACAAAATGATACATATATGATAAATAAATGATACCAATGTCATTTTTTCATGTTTCATCTTCTAATTCGAATTTTCAATTCAAACCACCTCAAAACTCCGACAAATCATCCGAAAACTGAGATTCAAACTCCTTGAGATGTACCCAATTTATTCTACTAACACTCACTCAAAACAAAGCAAAAATTTAACCTTTTTTTGGCTACAAATAGCTAATTGGCTAATATTAGTAACTTTCGACTAATATTAGTAATATTTAATGAATTGGCCAATTTTTGTAATGAGCTACTTATAAATGGACATAGCTGGTAGTTTCCTTATTTATTATTGACTGTTTAGTATATTGTCTAATCTAGGGGTTGTCAATTTTAATGCTTTACCCTAGAATAACTTATCATGAGATTACTAGTCCATCCGACTATTTTCTTTATCCCAAGATTAGTAACCAAATAAGGGATAAAGCGATAGAACAACAACGACTCAGTAAAATTCCACTAGTGGAGTCTGGGGAAGTAGTGTGTATGCAGACCTTACCCCTACCTGAGGGAGTAGAGAGACTGTTTCCAAAAGACCCTCGGCTCAAGAAGACGAACAGAGAAAAGAGACAATATATCAGTACATCAACAGAAACCAAAGGAATAATAACAACATCATAAAAATCAGAAAATAGATGAAAATCAATAGAAATAAATAGTAAATAGACCCAACACTATAAAAAACGAAAGAGTAGTGAGAACACAACATAAACCACTTAGCAATCTAAGACAAAAATCCTTTCAAACTAGCCTCACATAGTTACGAAGTAGAAATAGGGGCAACTACCTCCTACCCTAATACTCGACCTCCCAACTTCCTATCAAGGGCCATATCCTCGAAAATTTGAAGTCACGCCATGTCGTGCCTGATTACTCTATCTGATACTTCTTAGGCCGCCCTCTACCTCTTCTCGTACCTTCCAAAGCCAGTCGCTCACACCCCCTCATCAATGCATCTGGGCTTCTCCTTTGTACGTGGCCAAACCATCTGAGCCTGACTTCCGCATGTTAACATCAATGGGAGTCACGCCCACCTTCTCCCGAATATCATTATTCCGAATATTATCCATCATACCAAACGACCACTTAATGATGTTTTTTAACTTCTCGTTAGTGTGTTATATTTTATGTCTATTCAAAATGTTTCCGAAGACCGAGAAGAGCAGTAGGGAGTGGCAAAAGCAATGCACAAGTACTTTATTTACAACAGAGAGAAACTTCCTCCTACTACTTGCAAGAAACTAGAGTAGATGATAAAAATATCACTATACTTTATACCTTTCCAGGTACTGCTCGACAGACTGTGTAGCATCGAATAAGATGAAAACAGACCTATTTACTTCTTCCCGTCCTCTTTGTTTTCGTTGGTCACATTATCTTCAAGAGAAACTCTCTGTATTTAAGATTCCGTTTTTAGTAACTCTTCAAAATTTTAATTCAGTTAGCAGCTCAAGCATTTAACAGATGAGAATTTGGCGTAACTTGGCTGTATATCCACCTTTTATGGTGAGAGACGGAGTGTATGCGTGTGTGTTTCGGGTGTGGGGGTGGGGGAGTCCATCAAGGATAGCAGAGTAAAAATTCCAGTATCAACTTTCAATAGAAAGGAATTCCACTCGCAATGTGAAAGATGATCATTTTTACTGGTACAAGTCGAGCTCATTTAGACACCTTCCCAACATCGCACATGCCATTGACACCAAAATATGTTACAATTTCAATTTGCTTGTGGAAAATTGTTTTATAAGCTCAGCATATTCCAAAAACAAACTAATAATTCAGAGCACATCCTTTTCGGCAAATATTTTGAAATTTCAGAACCACCAAGGCACCGTTTAATTCCATAACCTATATTATCCTGTAATCATCCTTCCAGCTAAGCACAGAGCAACTCTCACATGAAAAGATTTAGGCCAACTGTCCAACATGTCCCAGGATGCACAAGCTCAACCACAATTACACAAGATATTCACAAACAAATAAAGAAAGTGCAAAGGTTCTCACAAAACTATAATTCATTCAACTGTTAAGAACTCAAGAAAAGACTCGAGTGTGCTAGGAAATCAGGAGAGAACTTGAATATACGGCTTGTGAGCATCACTCATCAAGCCCTCTCCTAAATTGAGCATTTGAAAAGAAAAGTCTAAGACACGAACGTCATAACAAACAACTAAAAATAGATATTTATCGGCTGACCACTGCAATTTCAAACTCAACTCTTTCATAATCTGTGGCCTTCATCAAAATTCTATTAAAAGAAGGCACTAAATAACCTGACATCCCATATTACTTCAGAGGAATGAACCTGGATGAGTGAGTAGCACCAATACCGGGTCTCCCGTGCTTGACAGGCTTGTATGAGATTGAGAACTCAGCCAGATAGTGACCAATCATCTCAGGCTTGACCTCAATCTGATTGAACGTCTTTCCATTGTAGATTCCAATGACACTTCCAATCATCTCAGGAACAATAATCATGTTCCTCAGATGAGTCTTGACAGGCTCTGGCTTCTCCCCTGGTGGCGCCTCACGTTTCTGCATTAAAATGCTCAAATGAAAAGGTGCACTAGCATACCAAACAAAGATAAGCAATACCAAATTATACATACATATGGAACTCATACAACACTGAAGGAATAAAATAAACAAGGAAACTTTTATAATAACTACAACACAAGGTGTGCTACTCCTAGGGCGGGAAGAAGATAAGAAAACGCGAAAATATGGTGTGTTCACTCACTTAAACAGCAACTTCGAGAAACGATGTAGATATCAATTCGTCTAGAAACCAACAAAAGCGTGCTAGACAAACGGGTAGAATCACACATAAAATTGCCCTGGGGCCTGGACTACCAACAGAGATTTGGTTCAGGACAAGCAAAAGCCTGAGGAGATTCTTATTCTACCCTCTGATGCTACCAGTATGTAATTCATTGGAACAAAATTATGCCTCAGCCAGTAAAACTCAAAGAGAAGAGTGAGCCCAAAGAAGCAACTTATTAAAGGTTCTGTCACTCAAATTTAAATACCAATGGTTAACAATAGTGAAAATGCAACATAAAGCAGATAACGAAATCAATTTTTTCCTCAATCATGTCATAATCAGTCAAGAAGAGCTTTTCTCATGAAAAAACGGGATAACTTGTTTTCTCAATCCAACCTTAGTCTATACAAGCTAACCACCATGTACGTCAAAGACTTATCAGGATTCAGACTACAAGAACCAAGTAAAACTCTTTTCTATGAAAGTCTAGACAAGCTAACCACCATGTACGTCAAAGACAGATCATGATTCAAACCAAAAGAACCAAGTAAAACTCTTTTCTATGCTTAAAGCAACATTTGTTCATATGCTTCAAACCTTCTTTGAGTCCCGTTTTGGGGGTTTACACTAATGACGTTTGACTATTGCAGCCAAATACCATATACGAACTTTTCAAAGTTCTTCTGTCCATATATTATCGGCTATTTATTAATTTTAGTACCTACAATATCATACGCATTTTGTGATTATCCTTGAATTTATGTGCAAAAGGTGCCAAATCATTCACTCACTAATAACATCAGCCAGAAGAATGGTAATTTTCTTACTGTTAGAGATCAGAAAAGAGAACGGTAATTTTACAGCCCAAAAAGAATTATAAACACTCCATTACTTACACCTTATTGTTTCAACAGAAGTGTTGAAGAATCTGGTAAAGATATTAAATGTGCTGTGGACTAGAAACTGGCTAGAGTAGGAAAATGGGTTGTTAGCATAACAGGATGATTATATGTTACTCCGTGTGAAATCAAAGTTATGTACACTGCAGGACCCAACTTAATTTAGTTTATAGAGATGAGTTTTGGGTGACGAAATTTCCCATAGAGAAATCCAAGTCAACAACAAAAATTAAGTTAAGAAAACTAGAGAAACAGGGGGAAAAAATCAAAACACTAGAGACAAAAGGAGAAAACAATATGCAGGAAGCCAGGAACCATCCAATAACAAGTAGACAATAAGTAATCTTCTCATCATGGGATGGGCATCTATCATATCATATAAGTGCTTTGAAGTGCAAAAGCAACTATCCAAGAGACCAACTTGGCTATCATATATCATCAAAAGTAAGCTAAGTGCAAGTATGTACCATTGATAAACTATCTTATGCTTCATCAGCTATCACTGAAAAGGCTATACAGCAACTACTCAAGCAGTAACACCCAAAGTCATATATATTAGTTGGTCAAATGGACACAGTGAGAACATTTAAGGGCACACCGCACAAGCAACTGAAAAAGGACCAATAATTAACATGCATACCGCCTTGCGTAGCTTCTTGATCAACGCCATTGGCTTCCTCTTCAAACCTCTCTGGAACCTACAACAAATGGGCCCAACTTATTATTAAGGGCCACTAACAAACCTAATGAAGCTATCACTAGAATTGTACTTCGTCATCCTATTTTGCTTGGCATTTGTTCGACTAAAACCGGAGTTCAAAAAAAATCGGCACATGAACTAAATATTTATAGTATTACGTATAAAGACCCTTGTATCATCCATTGAGGCATAAAATTAAGTGAACGTTCAAATTAATAAGTTTGTCTCAATGCTTAACCAAAAAAAGGGAACAATGAGCAACAAATTGGGTTGAAGAATATACAGTACATAAATACCTTCTGCGAGGACGAGCATTAAAGAGCTTTACGAGCTCGTCAGTGGACATGTCAAGCAAAGCATCGAGATCAACCCCTCTGTAACTGAACTTCTTGAACGTCCTCTTCTTTGGCTGTCCTGCCGTCACATCGGCTTCAACATCCGCCTATAAAACAAACAACTGTAAGAACACCGAGAACATGCAAAAAGCATCTGCGTGTATGCACAAACAGCTATAATGTGAATGCTTTGCAATGACGATGGTACGAAGAAAGATACCATGGTTGTGGAGATGGAATTGGCAACCTAGCAACGAAACAGATCGAGTACAGTAGGGGCTAGGGTTTTCTGGTGAGAATGGAATACATATCACAAGAGGCTGAGATGTTGGGGCCAAATGGGCCCTTTGATGGATCTGCTGGGTAAGTGAGTATAAGGGGTGAAATTCAAAAATAGCCACATTTACAACTGGTCGTTCAAAAATAGCCCAATTTCAAAAGTAATCGATATTTAGCCACTTTTCATGTAAAGATAAATCTGAGTGAAAATATTGTTCAAAACCCGGAAAATACGCCAGCATATTATGCTGGAGTTTCAGCATAAGTATACTTGAACTCCAGCATATTATACTGGAGTTCCAAGATTTGTATGCTGGAACTCCAGCATAATATGATGGAGTTCCAGCGTAAGTACACTAGAACTCCAGCATAATATACTGGAGTTCCAGCAAGTATACCGGTCCAGCATAATATACTGGAGTTTGGAGCACCAGTGCTCCAGTCTCCAGTATATTATACTGGAGCCAGCAAAGTATACCGGTCCAGCATAATATGCTGGAGTTCATACACAGGTGCACCGAACTCCAGTATATTATGCTGGACTGGTCTCTGCTGCAGCAAAATAGTGGCTATTTTTCATTGACTTGGTAAACGCTGGCTATTTTTGAATGACCAGTCCGAAAACTGGCTATACCGTACTATTTTAACCAATTAGGGCTGGCAAAAATGGCCCAAGCCCATCCAACCTACCCAACCCACCCAATATTTCATGGGTTGGGCATGATATAATTCCTGATGGGCTGACTTTGGACATAGCCCATATTAACCCAAAAATCAGCTAGCCCAAGTGCAACAGTGAAGGAACCCAAAGCTAACTCGTGTCCAAGCTTTAAGGGTATTATCACTTTTAGCCCGTGTCAGAAACTGTTTATATCTGATAGTCGAAAAAGTGTATAAAATTTATATAATTTTTTTTATATAATATACAGAATGTATATATATACAAAAAATATCCAAATTTTATATATTTTTTCGACGATTATTTTTACAGCGGCTATATAGTGTCATTTTTCCAAGCTTTAAATTGACAAAGAAGAGGAAGAACTCACATACAAAGTTCTCTTTGCTCCTTTTCCCATTTCATTAGTTTTTCTCTATTTCTTTAAAATAATTCTTTTCCTATTTGACTGACTCAAAAATTAATTACTAAATTGTACTCTAGAAAACAGAAAAATATTGTTTTCATATATTTTTTTGTTTCAGAAACCAATGCTTAATGTTACATCTAATAAAAAATATGCAAACAAATATACCTAGAAGTATTAGCTATTTTTTCATTCTTTGGAAAAAGTATTAGATTAGACAATCATATCAAAATATAAAGAATTTTTTGATTGGTTCTGATTTATTTTCTTTTTTGATAGGGTAAAATTAAATAATTTAGATACTCACAAAATATCAGTTTTACATTAATTAATTTTATTAGAGAAATGTTTGAGTACTAATAAAACTTATGACTAACAAAATCTAAAACGTCAACACATAACTAGTTATCTGATGTCAAATTGTGAAATGTTTGCACTATTATGTTGAAAATTTGAAATGCATTGTTAGGTTGATGCGATTCATGAGAATAAGTTAACTAGTTTGTATTGTTGATTTACAGTGGATAAATGCAAAGTTGATGACATTTTAAAAATTTGGTGAAGTTGGCGGGTTGGGCATAACTCATTATTTAGCCCATCTTGACCCAAGTGAATTTTGGGTTGGGTTGGGCATTGATCCATTTATTAGTTCAGCCCATCTTGACCAACCAAACATAGCCAAATAGCCCATTTGCCAGTGAAAATAGCACGGGCTAGCCAGTTTTCAGACTAGTAATTGAAAAATAGCCAGCGTTTGCAAAGTCATTGAAAATAACCACTATTTTGCTGCAACACGGAAAGTTCCAGCATAATATACCGGAGATTGGTGCACCTCTATATGAACTTCCAGCATATTATGCTGGAACTCCAACACACGGAAAGTTCCAGCATAATGTACTGGAGATTTGAGCACATGTGTATGAACTTCCAGCATATTATGCTGGATCAATATATTATACTGGAACTCCAATATATTATGCTGGAAGTCCAGCATATTATGCTGGAAGTCCAGTATATTATGCTAGAAGTCCAGCATATTATGCTGGAAGTCCAGTATATTATGCTAGAAGTCCGGTATATTATGCTGGAATATTTTCGGATTTTGAACACTGTTTCGTTTAGATTTATCTTTACATGAAAAGAGGCTAAATTTCGATTACTTTTGAAACTGTGGCTATTTTTCAATTACCACTTGTAAATCTAGCTATTTTTGAATTTCACCCCATTTGCCACCCCTAAGATCAACTACCAGCGCCGGCTCTAACCTTGTATCTAATAAGGCTTGTGCCTTAGGCCCCAAAATTTGGGAGGCCCCATTTTTTTTAAAAATAATTGGTTAATAGGTGTTTAAAAAAATATTTTAATTTCCTGGATGAATCACTTAGTTAATTGGTAAGTTGAATTGGCTCGAAGTAAACATCGATACAAATAAGTTTTACCCTCCTAATAGTTCTCACAATATTATATTGCCAGCTAGTTTATTTTGTCAAACCAAGTGATCAACCTTCTGGAAAAAATCAAAAGTCTAAGCCCTTCATCTTAATTTGTCTTAAATCTCCTATCAAAAGCATGCAAAATATTTCAACTATAGCTAGCTAGCTGCCATTTTGGACCATGCTACATAAACTTCAATTGTCATAACTGAAAAGCCACACAACCAATTCTATTTAAGTCCAAAATATATATCATTCTCAACTATATAGATCTATACTTTCTCACAACCATACATATCTCAATATACTCCGAGCAACTAATTAGTTTTTTTCGTTAATTGATCAAAGGTTTTGCTCGCCGGGGTCTATCGGAAACAATCTTTCTACTTTCTCAAGGTAAGGGTAAGGTCTGTATACACACGATCCTCCTTAGACCCTACCCGTGGGATTATGGTTGTTGTTGATCAAAGGTTTTCGTTAATTGAACAAAGATTTTTACTCGCCGAGAGTTTATCGGAAATAGCCTTTCTACTTTCTCAAGGTAGGGATAAAGTCTGCGTACATACTATCCTTCCTAGATCTCACCCGTGAGATTGCACTGAGTTTATTGTTGTTGTTGACCAACGGTTTTGCTCGGTGAAGATTTATATAGCTAACTCTAACTCACTTGAAACCGTGACATAATTACTGCTATTGTTGTTGTTATTGATCAAAGTTCTTACTAACAATGGATGTCAAGAATTGGTACAGAAGCTTTAGCACAAGAAGCACAAGAAGTATTCAATTGGGAAGAAATTATCAAGATGAAGTTGAAGGAGTGAAAGAAACAGTATTTTCTAAAAGTGGAGGTAGCAAAAGTTCAATTTGGAAAGTTTTGTGGAAAAAGTTGACAAAGGAGAAAAAAGAAAAGAAGAAGGGATTAAGGCTTGAGTTTTCTAGGTCTGTGCATGTACAAAATCCTCGTTATAATGAATACACTTATGCACAGAATTTTGACAATGGTTTCAACTCAGACGAACCTGATCATCTTTTTAAATCATTCTCTGTTCGTTTTGCTGATCCATCCAAATACTCCTTTTGAAGTGATTAAGAGATTGATTTGTAATTAATCATGTGATTAATGATAAATGCATAAGTGTTTTCCTTAGGCTTTTTTTTCTATAGTTTTTAAATTATTGATAAGTATTGTTTAAAGAAGGGGAGCATTGGAGCAACGTTAAAGTTGTCTTTCGTGTGATTTATAGGTCTCAAGTTCGAGTCGTGGAATCAATAATTAATGCTTGCATTAGGGTAGATTACCTACATCATACCCCTTGATAAGTACTGTTTAAAGAAGGGGAACATTGGAGCAACTGTAAAGTTTCTCCATGTGATCTATCGGTCACGAGTTCGAGCCGTGGAATCAGCCGCTAATGCTTGCATTAGGGTAGACTACCTACATCTCACCCCTTGAGTTGCAGCCTTTTTTCGAACCTTGCGTAAATACGAAATACTTCGTGTATCAGACTGCCTTTTTTATGAGTATTGTTTAAAAGTACTTCTAAATTGTCAAGAGTATAAAAAGTCTTGTCTTGATATAAGGAACAGTTTTAGAGAAAAGCACAACTTTGGCGTTTATAAAAGGAGTAAGATGACTATATAAAATCCTCTAGATAATACATTATATTGCGTAAGAAAGTTTTTTTTTTTCCTTTAAGAAAAGCTTTACCATTGATGAGGAAGATTTGAAACCACAGTGAAGCTCTTGGGCCTTGTATACGATCTGTATAGAAATAGCCGACTGAAGCTACAGTTTATTTTTTCTAGCTAGTATACATTGATTAGATACTTATAGTAAATAGTTATACATATAGTATTAATTAGATTATACATATATTAATATCCGATGATTATTCTTAGTATTCCTTTCTTTAGTCGAGTGTCTATCGGAAACAACCTCTATACCCTTCCAGAGTCGAGGTAAAGCTGTGTTCATCTTACCCTCCCCAAACCCCACTTGTGGAAACTTACTGGATTTATTATTGTTGTTGTTATTATTGTTGATTATTCTTAGTTTAAGTTGTCATTGGGAGGCTATTTAGGTTAATTTTTGGGATATTATCACTATTAGCTCGCACCAAAACCTATTTACATTCGGTAGCCGAAAAAGTATATAAAATTTATATATCTTTGTATATAATATACATAATGTATGTATACAAAAAATATTTATTTTTTGCTATTATATTAAAAGCGGCTATACAATGTCATTTTCCCTTAGTTTTTCTATATAAACTGGGTTGGGTAAGAGATGAGGCCTTTGCAGAAGTGATTTTCAGGCCCAATACGCTCCGTTTGGTTTTAAACTCTCTTTGTTTAATTCAAAATCACAAAATTGATATCAGAAATATCGTTTTTTTTGGGAAAAGTACAGAAATAGCCAATTTAAATACAAACTTACCGAGCTGTAGCCCAAAATTAGACACTTACCAAAAGTAGCCCAAAATTAGAGATACACGTAAGGAAGGATTCTTCTATCCGAGAATCACGCTAAAAATCTTCCTTCCTTCCCTGTGTGTATCAATTTAACAGATCACGACATTCTCTACCTCTGTAAATCACGACATTCTCTCTCAAAAAAATTCTCAAAATGAGCTCCAAATTTCACTCAAAATCGATCAATTTCACTATATACCTTCGCAATTTCTGTGTAGATACAGCTTTTGCAATTTCTGTGTAGAAGGAACTACGAACTGCAATCACAATCAATCAAGGAATTAGTGAGTTTTGACCTAATTTCAGCTACTTCTATGGCAAATTTACCAATTTTTATTCAGTATGGTGGCCGATGGAATGTTGACAACAGCTTTGTAGATTATAATGCAGACGTTGTAATAGTTACTCCAAATATAAGTTTTGAAGATTTTGTAGACGTGATTTCGAAACAACTTAAGATAGATACTTCATTGAATGATATTGAAATCAAATACACTGTCCAAAACAGTTCTCCGCCAATAGTGATACACAATAGTATGGGTCTATGTGTATATCTTGAGCTGAAAAAAAGCTCAGAATTTACAATGTATCCCCTTTGTATAACATCGAGTGAAAAGGATATGGACATGATCTGCTACAATTCCAATTCTGCTGTGATTTCCTCAGAATGTGCACAAAGCTCAGTTGTAGAGGAGAGATACAATGGCGATACAATTAAGATGATCGAGTTTGGGGATGGAGAAGACTGGAATGATACAGAATCTGATGAAAATACAATAATAACTGACCCTCAACACACAGATGTAGAAGAAGGTCAAATTTATAAAGACAAGGCAACGATAATCAAAGTCATGAAGCACTTGGCATTAACGGAAAAATTTCAGTTTAAGGTGCATAGATCAAGTGAAAGCAGGTATCAAAACTTTTATTGTATAATTATGTATCTCAATGTATATCGTAGTTGATGTTAGAAGCATAATTATGCAGAAAATAAGTTGTTACTTGTAAGTATGTGGATGTACACTTTTAAATTGTGGTTGTCGTCGTCTAGTACTGTATAGTCGTTGTATTTTTTCATCTAGTATTGTTGATTGCAGTGTGTATCACTATGTATCATTGTATTTCATGTCGCTCTGTTTATTGATGGAAAAGTTTATATCCTTGTCGTAGGTACTGCCTAGTATGCATCAACAACAACTGTGATTGGTATTTTAAGTCTTCGAGCCTGAAAAAAGCAAACGTTTTCAAGGTCAGAAATTTCAGCAAAGTGCACTCATGCCCCCTGAAAGACAGATCTTACGCACAACGTCAAGCTACTGCAAAACTCATCGGCAGTCTTCTGATAGACAAGTATAAAGACCCAAAAACAATATACACTCCTAATGACATAATTGGAGACATGAACAAGCAGTATGGTCTTCAGATGACATATATGCAAGCATGGAGATCGAAAGAATATGCAGTTCAAGTACTGAGAGGGAACCCAAGCGAATCATATGAAAAGCTGCCAAGCTACTTTTATATGCTAGTTCTTACAAATCCTATGTCGGTGGTAAATTTGAAAAAAACAGAGGAAGACTTGTTCATGTATGCTTTCGTTGCAC